ACGAAGTCGCGGTGGGGGACATGCTTGGCTACGTTGCCAAGGTGGCCCGCGAGTTTGTCTCGCAACGGTACGAAGAAAACAACGCACCGTTGCTCTACGTTTGCATTCAGATTGGGCAAGCGACCTGCAACGCTTTGCTAGATTGCGGCGCAACTCGCAACTTCATCAGCCAGTCCTTCATGACTCGGGCTGGCCTTGGCGCACAAGTACGGAGGAAGTCACATCGGACGACGGTCGCTCTTGCCGACAGTAAGACGAAACAACTTTTAGATCGTTACATCTCGGCTGTCCCGGTGTACTTTGCACCGCACGCATGTGAACCCGTCACTTTTGACGTGTTGGACACCGACTTCGATGTCATTTTGGGGATGCCTTGGCTTTCTAGCGCGGACCACACGGTCAATTTCCATCGACGCATGCTCACGATTCGTGATGCAACTGGCGTCGAGGTCCCGTGTACTATTCCTCCTCTTCGCTCTTCCATTAGGTGCCAAGTCGTGAGTGCCAAATCTTTTCGAGACACATGCCATTCCGAGCATGTCGAAGAGATTGGCATCGCTTTGCTTCGAACCGTCCCGACGACCGATTCATCGTCCACAGAAGTGTCTTCCGACCCCCATGTGACCCGGTTGTTAGACGAGTTCTCGGATGTTTTTGAGACACCCTCCGGTATAGTGCCGGACCGGCCAATCTCTCACGAGATCATACTTGAGGCCGGCGTCGTGCCACCGAAAGGATGCATTTATCGCGTCTGAGGAGGAGCTCACGGTTCTCCGTGCGCAACTCGACGATCTACTCGACAAGGGTTGGATCCGCCCTAGCAGCTCACCTTACGGTACGCCCGTTCTCTTCGTTCGGAAGAAGAACAAGGACCTTCAACTTTGCATTGACTACCGACGCCTCAACGCGCAAACCATCAAGAACGCGGGGCCTCTACCTCGCATTGACGATTTGTTTGAGCAGTTGGGCGGCGCGAAGTACTTTTCGAAGTTGGACCTCAAGTCGGGCTACCATCAGATTTCCATCCGCCCGCAAGATCGGTACAAAACCGCGTTTAAGACGCGATATGGGCATTTTGAGTGGGTAGTTATGCCTTTTGGCCTCACCAATGCCCCGGCCACCTTTCAGGCGGCCATGACCACCGAGTTTCGCGCTATGTTGGACTGTTTCGTTTTGGTCTACTTAGACGACATCCTCGTCTATAGCCGAACTCTAGAGGAGCATCTCGAGCACGTTCGCCATGTTCTAGAGACTCTTCGGTTAGCCCGGTACAAAGCTAACCGCGACAAATGCGAGTTTGTCCAGCAAGAGCTTGAATACTTGGTCATTTTGTCTCTCCGGAAGGCATTCGTCATCTAACTCTGCGGGAGACATCCTATAGATTTGTCCTCTAGGCACCTTACTACCCGGGACAATCTCTATCGCATGTGCAACCTCCCTTTCCACCACGCCTGTGGGCTCCTCAAAAAGGTCTGAATATTGTGCGACGACTCTTTCTATCTCTGGGGGTGTTTGTACGGCGTCCCCTTTCTCAGAGACGAAGACTAGGTACATGCCCTCCTCTCAATTCTGCTTATAGTAGTTATAGAAGGATGAAGCACACATACACCCGTAGTTCTCTATTAGACTGCTAGCTTTATACTTTTGCAATCTAACAGCTCTACCATTGGGCAATTCGTGGATCAACACCTTTCTATCCCAGTCGAACTGAGGTTGCGAGACTTCGAGGTAGTACATGCCTAGTAGCATATCGAATGGCAGTTCGTCGCTCACCAGGAAAAGATCTTGTGGATCACTTCCCCTCCTCCATAGGAGAAGGTGCAGGCTACGTCCTTGACATAGTCCTTTACAACCATTTGGTGCTTGTTGGCTTGTGTAGAAGCTACAGTTCTGCTAAGCCGCTGCACTTGGTCCCCTAAGCGCAGTCTATCCACACAAGCACGACTGCTGAAATTTCGTGTAGAGCCTATGTCTGCGAAGGTGCCAACCTTGCGGCCACCTACATCTACTTCTACCACGAAATGTTCACCCTTTGGACCTCTACTGATCATCGCCCAAGAGTCCCTGGGGTCCTTCCCTGACCACTCGGTCTCTAATTCTTCTAGGGCCTCAAACACATCTCCCGAACAGAGCATCGGTGGGTCTGAATGTGTGTGCGGGGCGATGTGTGGGTCTCTAGCCTTGGCCAACGCCTGAAGTGGGGAAGGCAACGTTACCACTTCAGCACGAGTAAGAGCGGCTAACACTCCTACTGGCCCGAGGTGTTTCCTTGTGAGCTGCTCGCAGAAGCACTCCCAGGGTTAGAAGATAAGCCCATCACCGTTGGTGAGGCTACCTTCGTTGTGACCTTCTTGCCATGGCAAGTCCTGGACGTGTGACCATAGTTGCCACAGTTCATGCATGTACCCCTAGCAACGCGGTCGCGCCACACTTCATAATCCAAACCAAGCTTCACCCATGCGGGTGTCCCTTGGTCGCCCTGACCCATGGACCCTCCTACCTTCTTCTTCCCGGTCCCCCTAGCCTTTTCCTTGATGGGTTCTACGACTCCACCATCTGAAGTCTCACTAGCCCCATCCTGCTCTGTGAACTGCCCAAGATCTGGGAAATCGTCAATCTCCGTCGTTTGACCGTCGTGGTCAACGAACATCAACTGACCCTTCTTCTTCCAGTCTTGGGGCAGTCTCTTCCTACGATCATGAGATGCCCTATGCGCAGATCCCAACTTTGCCTCTATGTCCAAAGCTTTCTTACTAGAAGAAGCGAAAGTGTGCTGTTCGGCGTAGGCCTCATCAACCAGCTTGGTCCTTACCTCTGCCTACCTCATCAACCAGCTTGGTCCTTACCTCTGCAGGTAGGCACCTTAGGTAATCCGGTAGGAGAACCTGCTGGTCAAAACGCACACCAGGTACCACGAGGAGGCGTTCTACGGTCAGCCACTACTTCCTGTTCTGCCCTTGTGAGCTTGTGCCTCACATAAGTAGGCACAGTCTTCACCCAGGTGTCCAAGTCCTCCTTTCCGTCTCCAGAGAAGGGCTTGGGACTCATCAGAGGTATCTTAGGCATCCATTGCATAGGCTGCATGGGCCCAGGGGCTTGCTGCAGCGGCTGCATAGCCACTGAAACAGGCTGTTGCACACTAACCTGGGCCTGGCTTGACAGTGGGACTGTAGTTACCACTGTCGTGGATGGTACGACAAAGATTCTTTGAACCGGACCACTAGTTGCTGCAAAACCACCTGGAGGGGGCATGCCAAACATAGGAGAGAAAGTTTGCTCTCTGTGTGGCGGCATCGCTGAAGGACCCGCACCCGCAGGGGGAACTACAGCAAGCTGTGGCTGCCTCACCGCTGTGCGAGGAGCCCGAAGTTCACCCACAATTTGTTTCTGGCCTGCCACCAAGTCAGCCAACAATTCTTGTTGGACGTTCTGCGCTTCTGCCACTGAAAGTAAAGCATTGCGCAGCACACGACCAGCAGGGTCTAATGCTGCCTCATCTAGTGTTTCCAGTCTGCCTAGCTCCTGCATTCTACTCTTTAGTCTAGCCTTCCTAAGTATGGCTTTTCTTTTCCTCTCTGCTGCATCGTTCAACTGCCGCTGTAGCTCATCCTGAATTTCTTCTGCTTGTCGGATTTCTAAATCCTCCGCCATGAGTTGAGTTTGCTGGCTGATTCGCACAGCATTAATCTGACTAATGGGAACCTGAGAGCCACTTTGACTCCTGAAGAAGTGGACTGTGTATAGACTTGCGACATAGCTGAGGTTGCCATGGTTGCACCTGTACTAGCTGAGACACTAGTCTTGGCACTATCTTCAGTTGCCCTCGCTCTCCTTGCCACTGTTCTCTCTCTAGCCTCTCTCCTCAATCTTCCTTTATCTCTTGGACCTAACTCCAAGAATGTCAAGGGTCGACTACGAGAAGTCTCGCGAGTAGTCCTACGGTCGTCCACTAGCAACTCCTCCTCATTAGTGCTTGCATCACTCATGAGCTATAGTGTGTGATCTAAACTAGAATCCACACTGAATTCTACCTTAGCCTGACACACAACCGATTATGAAACATAACTAATTTCAGTCGGATGGAACAGAAACAGTTAGGTGATGTATTAACAACCAATGTCAGGTCCTACAGGATATATTAATTCTATTTTTAGATTACCCTGGAACAATCTGTCTGTAGCTGTCTGTCAGTTGTTAGCGAAGTCGGTCACAACTTCTGGCAGACTGCGTAGCCACACGGGCCCTGTAGGACCCGTCCCGGACATTCAGCCTAAAAGGCCTAAAACTTAGGAGCTACAGGCCCCGGTCGTTTCAGCCTGAAAACTGAAAAACGAGGGCCTGCAGGCCCTACTCCGTTTCAGCCTATTTCTAGGTCTTTCAGACCCAGAGTTTTTCCAGCCTGAAACGGAGGGCTATTCTTAGGCCCTGGGCTATTTTTAGGCTTGTAACTTCTGTCTTTTGCAGCGTGCAGACTTAAATGTTTTGACATTTTCAAGGAGATGGATGGAAATAAGGTGGTCACTTAAATGAAAGTGTCTGAACGACTGACTATCATCACAAAGGGAAGAGCGTTTCCTTTTCAATATGAGAAAATCTTTAACTGTGAAGCGGGAGGACGGAAAATGTTTGTCATCATGGTGAAGTTTACAGATTTGGACCGTTTCGACGTACGAATATATAAGCGTCGAGGAGAAAACTGGATGCGCAACGATTTTACAGAAGTTTACCTACGAGCTACAGGTGTTCTTTTGTCCATGAGACGTGCTTTACTCAACGCTGGGGGTGCCAAGCTTTCTTGGTTTCCCTCATTTGTTTCGACCTGCCCTACGCCAGCTCGAGCAGGAGCTGCAGCTGCAGCCCCTGCCTCCCTGCGGCATTATTGGCAAGAGCACGAGCAGTTGCTGCAGCTGCAGCCCCTGCCTCCCTTCGGCATTATTGGCAAGAGCACGACCAGGAGCTGCAATTGCAGCCCCTGCCTCCCTTCGGCATTATTGGCAAGAGCACGACCAGGAGCTGCAATTGCAGCCCCTGCCTCCCTTCGGCATTATTGGCAAGAGCAGCCTCCTGGACTGCTCGCCAAAGGAATGGAAGAAGCGCTTCATAGTGGATGACGCACCCGCGCTCGCCATCAACCACATCTTCGCGATGGCTCAAGGGAGCACACCGACACGTGACTGGCTCACGGATTGGCAGAAGATCGTGGCCACGCCCGATCTGGACTTGCCATTTCCGCATCTACGCCGTGAGTTCCACAACAGGTCATGCGCCGCTCGCAGCCTCGCAGTGGGTGATCACGAGCAGTACAACACTTTCGCAGAGATCATCAACAAGGCGAGAGAGATCATCAAGACCAATAGGGCGGCCGCACACGAAAAGTCAACGTGGCAGCCAACCTATGTGAAGAAGGTACGAACTGGTCCGTGACAGCAGCAGTTCGCTGCAATCCAATCGGACAGTGGAGAAGACCCAGCAGCCACTCCAGCATCACGTGAGGGAAATCAGGTGGCTGCTGTCCAGCCGTGAAGCAACAAGCCCCGAGTGAACGGGAAGGCGAAACCAGCGTCGCAGGCCGGAAACGGACAGCCAGCATCACCATGGGTCAAGTTCGGCTTGACCGAGTACAAGTACCGCAACCGTTACGGCTGCTGTTACTGGTGCAACAGCACCAAGCACAAGACCTCCATTTGCCAAGATCAGGCCAAGGAGGATGTGCGGCCTCATCTTAACTTGGGAAAGTGAGTTGCGCAGGAGGTGAGGCGACTCCACCTCTCACTCCGCCAGATTCGGCCGCCTTGCTAGCGGCCTCCTACATCTGGGGAGGATGCGCATGTCGCAAGTCCTCGGTACAATTACGTGGATTATGCTGTCCACTTGGTCCCACCGCTGGACCAACCGCTCCACGTGCAACAATCTACCGCATGCACGGTTTCATCACCATCGACCCACTGACGTTCACGGACTTCCAGTGGATGCTCGTTTCCCAGACTGGACGATTGTCGGAACCGCATTGCAATGTGCTCATGGCACAACTGCGAGATTACTTGCACACTGCAGTACCAGCTCCGTTGATGGACGCCGGAGTAGAGGTTGTCGACCTTCACACTTACATTGCGAAGATCGACCGCGAGTTCAAGACGCAATGGTACGACGACATCGACGCACCATTGCTATATGTACGCATTCAGATCGGAGAGGCAACCTGCAACGCCTTGATCGATTGCGGAGCATCTCGTGGCCCACGTGTCCGGAGGAAGTCCCAGCCTACGCAAGTCACTTTGGCAGACGGTCATACGCACAAGTCCATCGACCGGTGCATTGACGCCGTCCCAGTGTACTTTGCCCCTCACGCAAGTGAGGCGGTGTCCTTTGACATTCTGGACACCAAATTCGACATGATCTTGGGCATGTCATGGCTGCGAAGCAAGGATCACCCGGTGAACTTCTTCAACCGCACCGTTCACGTTCGTGACTAGAACGGAGTATTAGTTCCATGCACGGTGCCTCTTCCTCATCCTTCGATCAGCTGCCACGTGGTATCCGCCGCAAGCATGCGAGCTTCCATCATC